ACCGACAGTCTATTAATCCTCGGCACTACATGGAGGTTGCGGTGGTGTCAGTTACCCCACCTTTTTCCTGCCACTGAACCGAAGAGTAAATTTGTCTTCTTGGCTTTCGTCTATGATAATGTTATTGAGCTGAGCTATATCATTTGTCAAAAATAATTTTGGCCATTAATTAACATTTCCTTTTCACTTAATTTTTTTTCGAGACAATTGCTTCTAAAATTTTTATACTAATCTTATATTTTTTTTATTACTTCAAATGTTATTTTTAGTGGCTGAAAATAGACGCCATGTTTTTATTTTGTATATTACGTCTATTATATCCTGCTCACCCGAGTAAATCTTAAAGAAAATGTGCTCTTCAGCAGGGTTCGAATCGGCGCCCCTTTTCTTGTAGAAGAAATCACCGTCTGATTCAACTTGGTCACAGAATACGTCACGGACCAGCAAGTTTCTAATTTTTCCTTCCAGGAATGCCTATTCCCATTTTCGTAAAATCTCATATTTGCACAGTTTCGTATCCAAAACATAAACTTCTAAAGAATTATTTTTATGACTTCAAATATTTTTAGTGGATAGGCGTGTTTGAAATAGACGCCCCGTTTATATTTTAAACACTGTGTATATCGTCTATCGCCTGTAAAACTGGGCCGGGTAGCTGTTTCCCGAGACGAGACTGCCATTCGACAGAGTCTCGTCTGGGGATCCTCTTTGCCCGAAAGCAAAGAGTTAGACCAGCACAGCTGGAGACGAACCTCCAACTGCAGACCAACATACAGTATTTACTACTGTATTTACTACTTATTTGCGAAAAAAAGGTCTATAGGCCTCATTCCAGAAAAAAAGTAAAATAAATAAATAAAATTAAATTCTGTATTTATAAACAACAACAACAAAAATGAGAGTAGAGGCTTACAACCATATCGCGTTGAAGCATCGGTTCCCCTATGACTACCGAAGTTAAGGAAACGCTGAGCCTGGTTAGTGCTTAGATAGATGACCGCTTCGGAATTCCAGGTTCTGTAATGATTCGGAATTGATAATGGGAGAACCAAGTTCCAATTCCATTTCGGTTCGTTATATTCACTTAAGCGCAAATACACACCGGAAAGGTATGAATCCCCCAGCTACGGGTTAATTAGTAGAACTTGTATCAGCAGAATCATTATTATCTCTGTTGAAATCTATGGAGGGTTACTGAATAGAATAATCAAAAAAGGTTTGGTAATGAACGGTAATACTTAAGACAAGAACAACACATAGAAGATTCACCAGCAGCGCGTAGAAGAAGTAGTCAACTGTTAGAAGTGAGTCAAGTGAATTCCACTGTGAATCTCCAACTACAGGATATCTACCAACCGTCCTACGCGATCAGATATAGCACAAAGCTGAATTTAATGTGGGGTATCCGAGCTCGTAGGCTCGGCCAAAAATTCCCCGTAGACCCCATATAAAACGAGGTCGGGTAGCTGTTTCCCGAGACCAGACACTGCCCTTCAACATAGCGCCGTCTGGGGATCCTCTCTGCCCGGAGGCAGAGAGTTAGACCAGCACAGCTGATCTCCAACTGCAGGATATCTACCAATCGCCCCACGCGGTCAGATGCAGCACAAGGCTGAATTTAATGTGGGGTATCCGAGCCCATAGGCTCAGCCAGAAATTCCCTGTAGACCCCATATAAAACGGGGTCGGGTACTGTTTCTCGAGACCAGACACTGCCCTTCGACATACCGCCGTCTGGGGATCCTCTCTGCCCGGAGGCAGAGAGTTGGACCAGCACAGCTGATCTCCAACTGTAGGATCGCCCCACGCGGTCAGATGCAGCACAAGGCTGAATTTAATGTGGGGTATCCGAGCCCATAGGCTCAGCCAGAAATTCCCTGTAGACCCCATATAAAACGGGGTCGGGTAGCTGTTTCTCGAGACGAGACTTTGCCCTTCGACATCCTTCGTCCGGGAATCCTCTCTGCCGGGAGACGAATCTCCAACTGCAGACCAACATAAAGTATTTACTACTGTATTTACGTGAATGGGGGCATACCCATTATCGTCCGTAGGTATGCTACAACAATCTCCATACACTCAATTCTTACAATGTAAAAATATTTTATAGCTTAAAATTACATGCAAAAGGTTGATAAACCGTAAAAAAAAAACAGTCAATCGAAGACAGTAGAACAATAGATCTAAAAATCTTCATAGGCAGATAAGAAAATACGGAACCAGAATTTGATTTACCGCTCAACCTCACCCCAATTTTTAACATCTGATTTACCCAGCTAATTTTAACATCTGATATAGTCCCCGCCCCCGCATTTGTCAATTAATTTAGTACTTTGCCCCATTTTATTTTACGGTGCCTAGTTTTTGTCACTTGTAAAAGTAATAGTCTAAGCTTGATGGAACCTCTACTCGGCTGCTGAGAGCTATGCTTAACATTTCTTGGAGACAACATCCAGCTAAATCACAGGACCGTGATGGATGGCGTAATAGACTCATAAACGTCCCCGATAACTCAACCGAATATATTTCACCATAGTCCAATGAAGTAAAGTGTACCTCGAGATGCATCGTCTGCTCGGTCAATGAATGCCGAATGTTTCCTGATTTTGGAAATATTTATTAATGTAGCAGAGAGTATAATTCCTCCTAAATTCAACAATCATTGATTTTCCTTGAATTATACAGTAAACGTTTAACATAATGGAAATCAAAACAAACAAAAAAACAAACAGAAAGACACATTTGCCGCCATAGTTACCCTTCGACAATGTATCATGATTTCACTAATGGAAATTCTTTCGAGCAATTGTAGAGGCCACTGCTTGAACATCAAATAAAACCCTAAAATCCAACTAAATCACAGCTCTATGGACGCATCCCTGTTATTTCTACAATTTTACGCGAACGCAGAATGCGCTTTGCAGAACAATGTTGGCGAGGAAAACAAGAACTCGCTAGTGATCTACTGCTCTGGACACCTAGCCATAGAGCGAGACAGGCTGGCCACCCAGCAACCACATACATTGACAGAGGATGCCACAATAATGACCCTCCGACCTTGATTGCAGGACCGTGATGGTTGGCGTGATCGACTTATGAATGTCCGAGCTAGCTCGACACCCCCCAAATAGTCATACAGTTGTTCTCTAACCTTTGTCTATCTGCCATTCCTATGACCACCCCTGCATTCACATGCATATCATCCCCCTATCACACCCATATTATGTATACTGAATATTTAAATCAACTCATATAACACTGTAAATCCACTTATATTTTTACCTTTTCTTAGATGCCATCATATCAACAACAGATGAACATCCGTGGCTCTATCGCAACACCGATAAACACTGAGCATTGGCCACAGCAGATGTCGACTGTCTGATCTGGCTGGCGTCTGGCGCATCCTATTCAGATAACGTTTTAAAGATACAAATAAACTTTCATTCTTTTAATTTCAGACAAAATAAAAATGAAACTAGTTTGTAGTTCTATTTGTTAATTTTAATCTTTGGTTTGGTTTGGTTTATTTTGTTTTGCAGCATATCGACGCCAATACCGTCAAGGCTTTTAGAATATATTCGTATGAATAGAATATGTATTTGTAAGAAATCAGTTTATAGATCAGCTTTCATTGACGTATTTTTATAAACAGTGTTTTTGCTGGTAATATTTTTTTTTCAAAAATGTATTGCTGGTATTTTTACTATAAAATTTTATTTAAACTTTTATAGCGATTTGACCTCAGTTTGGAGGCCAACTATTTTCCCATATCTGGAACCCCAGGTCCTGGTAGACCTGGCAACACTAGCAATTAACAGGTGGTTCGACGCTCCTCAACACCTCTCAATCAGAGGCCTTGCTACCGGGTGTAGTTTATCCTTATACCCTGGACGAATTTTATTCTTTGTGAAGCATACGCAAACCTTGACTTAGTTTCGTCAGATAATTCTGTGAAATAATGGAAACAATATTAATTGGTTCTAATGACATCCTGTCGCTCTCTACTATCACTTTTCTTTCTAAACGACACTTTTTTCTCCCCGCCTCTTGGATCTTTTCCAAATGAGCGGCGCCGCCCACTTTGGTAAGTTTAGTAAGCTCAAGTATTCGCTAAAAATTCGATCTTATTGAACTTATGCTACCTGGTCCAAGGCCACGAAAACGAAGCATTTAGGCATTAGCATACTACCCAGAATTTACAAGATTAGTTTTCTTCCTATTAATTTACAACTGTAAATTTCACTTTGTCTATGTGACATGTTCGTCCAGGACGTGGGTGATCATACGCTCCACAATTACCTGTTCTTTGTAGCTCTTTATAAATTTTATCGTTTTGTTATCTCTCTTAAAATCTATTCTGTAAGCCATTTACAAAATCTCATTAAATAAGTTATGCCGTGCTTTCCTCTGACCCTCTTGCCTTTGATCTGTGCTGTGAGTGCCAAATTTTCTAAGCCTTCTTTCCTCATGTGTTCGGGAGACTTCAACTGTCTCTTCCTGATGTCAAGTATAAGTGACATTTTGTTTCCATTTTCTCTAAAACTTCAGTCCATAGTATTGTCACCATCTTTCTGTAGAGCCACATTTTATTGCCTCAAGTTTCCTCTTTATCTGCAATGCGATTGTCCAACATTCACTGTCATATAGGAGGACTTATATTGCATAAGAGTTCAGTACTCTTTTCTTCGTGTCTAATAGAATTTTTCTGTTTCGTTAAACTTTGCGAATCTTTCGCTATCCCAAATGCGCCTTCGGATTTCAGTGTCACATTTTCTGTTCTCTGTTAAAACACTTCCGGGATATTTCAATTTTCGCACTTGATTTTTCTTATTGAGATGAAACAGTCTCTCTGATATGTCTTTTCCGTTTTTCTTCACGTCGAAAACGGAATGGTTCATTATTTATCTGAGGTATTAGCAGACCGTAATGTACTAACTAACGAAGAAACAAGCAGAATAATAATTTGATTGTAGCCTTGCCTACGCAGGCACAAGGGCTTACGGCCACATCATGTTGAAACGCCGGTTCTCTTAGGATAAGCGAAGTTAAGCAACATCGAGCCTGGTCAGTATCTAAATGGATGATCGCTTGGAAATACCAAGTGCTGCATGCTTTGATGTGTGGGTGGGGTCTTAAAAATGGCTCAAAAGAGAGAAAGCCGAGTTCCTTAGGGTTCGTGATATTCATTTACGCGAAAATACTCTTGGGGAAGCTATGAATTTTCCTCTTTTCCCTCCAGCTACGGGTTAATTAGTAAGACTTGTATCAATAAATTCATTATTATCTCCCTCCCCTCCAAATTCTTACAATGCAAATATACTTTCTGGCTTTAAATAACCTGCAAAGGGTTCATAAACCGTGGAAAACGAATCAATCGATCACAGGCATGTCTTTTAGATTTTGTTATATTCTGTTGAATATAAATGTGTAGAAACTAATACGGCCATAAAATGAGGGATCAGTTTATATATTGATTGAAGTATAGAATTGATCCTTCTCTTTATATCCACCATAATTTCCTGTTTGTTCATCAAACTCGGATTAGTTATGAATCCACCTCTTCTCCCTACCCCCAGCTATGGGTTAATTAGTAAGACTTGTATCGCTAAATTATCTCCAAAAAAATTCTTACAATCTAAAAATATTTTCTGATTTTAAATAACCTGCAAAGGATTGATAAACCGTAAAAAACGAGGCAATAAAAATAGGCATTCGCAAGATGGCCTACAATTCTGTTAAAAAGTGATTTTGGAGAGCTGATCCCACGATCTATCAGGCCTTGCGCAATTTTGCATCAAGTTTCTTTATTTACATTTAAACGAACAAGTAAAAACAAAGACTAGTATGGCGCTATATGCCGAAACAGGAATTTAAAATCAGTTGGGTGAACTTTCTTACCGTGTCTCTATTAACTAAGTCATCTCCAGTTCATGAAAAAAAAAAAAAAAAAAAAAATCGACACAGAAAAATTTCGTGACAAACGTGCTATCTCCTTCGGCTAGCGCGATAAAATCTTGAGGAAAACAAGGCCTCAAACCAGACTTAGCTGAGCCAATTTAATATCGACAATAAAAACGTACATGTACAAAATATCCACACTCATGAGCTCACCTACGTACCCACCTACACAGGACACTGGCATTTAGAGCACTTAGCGATTCATACGCCCGCATGCTTAAAGAAGCGAGTTAGCAAGGGGACACCAGAGCTAAAAGAAACAAAACAAACAGAACTGGAAAAAAAAAAAAAGGTAAGCTGTCAAAGAATTTGGGTTTAGACGACGCAAAGTCCTTAGATTTGATGCAAATCTTCGGAATTAAAATTTTGGGTGGCATAGTGTGTTTCAGACTGCAGGCGGTAAGTTTTTTGTTTTTCTTTCTAGAATGTGCGCTCAAGACTTGCTAATGTTAACTGATTGCGATCTCTAAAAGAAACGCCAAAAAAAAAAAAAATTTAGATAAAATAATCGACATATTTATCATACTCCTGTTTACGCACTGTTGAGGAGGTATCGGCGTTGGGAAACGTTTGCATACTCAACTGCAAAATCATTCAATGCCTGCATTAAATTTCGTAACAAACACCAGAATAACACAGAATGATTGGCACTACACAATGTTTTTTCTCTTTCTCAGGTTAAGTGTTGTTAATAAGTTCTGCAGCAATCGAAAAGCATGAGAAAAGGAAAGAACTTCACTGTAAAGGGTGTTTCATTAAGACGGATCAAAGTCAGCAATAAATAAATCAGTGTTATTGGTGAAAATTTATTTATTTCTCTATTGGATCATATTATTTAAGTCATGGCAATTATGTATGAAAAATAATATCGTCCAAATGTCTGCCAAGGCTTCGGCTGCACCCCGCCACTCGATTGTCAAAAATTTTGATGGCGTCTCTGCGTAGTTGCTCCTCGATCTCACCAATATGCCTTATTATCTCATCCTTCAGTTGTTGAATTGTTGGCGTAGACCTTACTTTTGAAATGAGCCCAAAGGAAGAAATCTAAAGGCATCACGTCACACGATCGTGGTGGCCAATTGACTTCGCTGTTTCAAGAGATGATGCAACCTGGGAACTTATTCAATTTCTGTTTGAGCGTTCATTTTCGTAATAGGCTTCGATAACTTCAACACGTTGTTTGATTGTTAATCTTTCCATGGTTGAAATTGCCAACGACTTAAGTTGTTAAATCTGAAAGAAAAAGAAAAAAAAATCATTAGACACTTAAACTTAATTCACTTATAAGCCAGCTTGAAAAACGTATAATTTCGAATTCTGTAAACTATTTCAAAGTCAGCTTTTTGGGCGGAATTTTTAAGCTAGTTCCTGTAGAAAGTCTAAGGTAGATTGTGAATTCAATAAGGGATCATTAATTTGAAGTATGTACTTAACAAAGAAAAGAGTACCGAGCTGCTACGTGATATATGTATTCCTTTACGGCAGAGAATATTGGATGGTGTCTCCTCAAAGATGAAAAAGAGACTCGAGGCAACGGAGGTATGGTTCTACAGAATGATGCTATGGATGTCATGGACCGAGCGTGTGAGCAACGATGAGGTTTTGGAAAGGATTCAAACAAGGAAGAAGCTTATACTTAACACCAGGAAGAGGCAGCTGAAATTTCTGGGAACGTAATGAGAAAGGAAGGCTTGGAGAATCTGATACTCACAGGTCGAATAGAGAGAACGAGAGACGAGGGAAAGCAACGCATGTCATACCTAGCGGAATTAAGCAAGTGAAGGACAGAAGATAGGCTGGGTGGGGAGTAGCAACGGGACAAATCTTATTGAGAGCTACAAGAGATAGGGAGAAGTGGAGAGCCATGATCGCCTACCTCGTGAAGGTACACGGCACATAAAAAGAAACCTTATTGAATCATACTTTTTTTATACTAAATTTAACCCAAACTACGCTCTCGCGTAATAGAGTTAAAATAATCATTTTAAATGAAATGTATGACATGAATAAAAATGGAGGCTGTCGAAAGTGAATATTGTAAGGATAAGGAGTTTAAATAACTGTCCATCTGTATCTATGAATGCAACTGTGAGAAGGGGGAAGTCGGATAGATAGATAGATATATAAACATCAGCCCCAGGCAGTCTCTGGCAGTCTCCCACACATCGCAGACGGAAAATGTAGGGTCTTCTTATTGAACGAAAGGCACACCGGAGCCGCTCGCATAACACAGACTGTCTGAGAATAAATGAAGAGATTTCCGGAGGGAATTGAATTTTAAGTAAAGAAGATACATGTTTTGTATTACCATTAGTAACTTCGAAACTATCTTCATTACAGAGGCACCCACATGGAAGTATGTTCTACAAGTTAGCTTTTCTTGGTGAAAAATCTGTCTGTGGGATAATTTGAAAATTGTCACAATCATGGCACCCTGGATCATATTTAATTCAACACTTGGGAGATTTCACTAAAGATTTCAAGTACAAAGAACCTCGTTAACGATTTGTGCGAAAGCTGCGAACAATGAATTGGAGATGTCGAAATCAAACAAATATACATGTTTATATTACTGCTGCTATATATGGTCTGGAGCCCCCGCTGTTCGTTTCAAGGTTCTCGACAACATCCAGTTACTGGTATGCAATGCAATTGGTCCTGATCTGGCATCTCGTCTACAGTCACTTTCTCACAGACGTGCCGTCGTTTCCCTCAGTCTTTTTTTTTTTTTGACAAATACTTTCAGGATAATTGCTCCGACGAGCTAGTTTCGCTGGTTCCCAGACTTCATGAATTTAAGCGTGTTACTAGATTGACATCTCAGTCCCACCCTTTCACTGTCGAAACTGTTAAATGTAGCCGTCTCTTCTACTCCAATAGCTTCATGTCTCGCACTTCCCGTCTGTGGAAATCCCTTCCTCTTACTTGCTTCTCTGATAGCTATAATCTTCAATTATTCAAATGCAATGTCAATCGACATCTTCAGATGCCTTGATCTAATTCCCCGTCGTACTCTTCATCCGTTCTTCTATCACATGTCTTTACCCTTGCTCCCATTCTCTGTAACCCCTTGCGTGCTAGTGACACACCCACCTTGCTTAAAAAAACAAAAAAAAAAAAAAAAAAAAAAAAAAAAAACAAACCAGGAAGTGTTTTAACAGATGATGGAAAATGTAACACCGAATTCCGAAGGCGCATTGGAATAACAAATATGCATTTCAAGAGCTAAGCAAAGTACTAAGAAACAGGATAATTCTCTTTAAACACAAAGAATGGGGTTCTGAACAGCTGTGTTATATAATTCCTCCTATATGGTGGTGAATACTGGTCAATTTCCTCAAAGATGAAGAGAAAACTTGAGGCAACAGAAATTTAATTCTACACACGGGTGCCGAAAATGTCATAACGCAGAACTTTTAGGGAAAATGGAAACTAAAAGGACAATTATACTCATGAATTACGGGAATCTCTTGGACTCATAATGAGGAAAGAAGACTTGAAAAATTTAACACTCACAGAACTTACCGAAAGCTGAAACGGCAGAGGCAAGCAGTAGGCTAACTACTTGACCTGTGAACATACGGCGGAACGGGGGTGGGAGGTATGGTATAACAAATACATGATGAACCACGTCTTGAAGGGACACGTCACATACAATAATAATAATAAGAAAAAGAAGAAGAAGAAGATTTAGAAGCTGTTAAAATACAAGGACCTTGAAATAGAAATCTCGAAAATGTGGCATATGGGAACATTCCTGTTGTAGTTGGAACCCTAGTACTGGTTAGAAAAGATTGCAGTAGACTAATCGAAGGGATTCCTGGAAGTCCATGCCTCAAAGAGATACAAAAAATTGTTCTGACAAGTACAGCCCACACTTTACGAAGGGCTTTATCTATGTAATTTCTTTTTTCTTTTTTTTTTTCTTTTTTTTGTCAGTGGAAAGTGTCATGCTGCCATTTCTAACCTTAGGTCCCTAGGCGGGACCCGGAAAGAAATGTGTAAACGCCAGAAATCAAAGAAAATAATAATAATAATAATAATGAGAAGAAGATTTTTTTTATTAGAAAATTGAGCATTGGAAAATATCATGAAGCCATTTCTGACCTTAGGTCTCTGGTTGGAATCCGGAAGGATATGTGTATACAACAGAA